GGATCCCCTAACAACAGTGAGAGAGCAATGCGAACAGCTGGAGAAATGTGTAAAGGCTCGGGAGCGGCTAGAGCTCTGTGACCAGCGTGTATCCTCCAGGTCACAGACAGAGGAGGATTGTACTGAGGAGCTCTTTGACTTCCTGCATGCAAGGGACCACTGCGTAAGTCAGCCTAGTCAGGAAGGGGAAAGCTTACACTGGCCAGGCAGACTTGGTGCTGACAACTTTTCCATACTAGGGGCAGATCCAGCAATAAGCATTTACTTACTGGCCCATCTATGTCAGGTACAGTGCAGAGCACTTTACATAAATCATCTTACCTAATTCTACTACTTTCACTGGAGATAGGTCTCATTAGCCACATTTTACAGATAAGAAACTGAGGCTTAAAGAAGAGAAATGATGTCCCAACTTGGACTGCTAAGCATTGGAGAAGCTGGATTTTGTACCTTTAAGTAACAGGCTATTCTTTAAAATCATTTATATCCTCCAGTATGTCTTGTACATGGTAGTTGGTCCAAAAAGTTTTCCTTTTTTTTTTTAAAGATTTTATTTATTTGGGGCACCTGGGTGGCTCAGTCATTAAGCGTCTGCCTTCGGCTCAGGTCCTGATCCCAGTGTTCTGGGATCGAGCCCCACATTGGGCTCCCTGCTCTGCGGGGAGTCTGCTTCTCCCTCTGCCACTCCCCCTGCTTGTGTTCCCTCTCTCACTCTCTCTGTCAAATAAATACCTACTAGGATGGGTATAATCAAAAAAATAGGGAGAAATGGGTGAAGGGGGTCAAAAGGTAAAAAGGAAAAAATAAATGACCTTTCCCCCCTGAAAAAAGTTAATGATCTCCACTCAGCCAACTTTATATATGCTTCAACAATCCCAGGGGCACTGGCTGGCTCAATTGGTAGAGCACGCATCTCTCTATCTCAGGGTCTTAAGTTCAAGCCCCATGTTGGGCGAAGAGCTTACTTAAAAAAAAAAATCCCAATATAGGTGTTTTAATTCTATGATATACAGTGGAAATACACAAATGCACTCCCCACCCCCATTAAACACATTGTTACAATTAAGGAAGATATTTTATAAAGATAGAAAAATCTGACTGAAATCATACTGCCTAGAGATAACCATGTTTTCTTGTATATACTATCAGATTTTTAAACAAAAATGGAATCCAAATACATTTAATATAAAATATGAGTAGAGGCATTATATTCCTTTTTCAACATAATTTTAGTGGAAAGAAGGAAAATTTATATACCAAATACCCATCTATAATTCTCCATATCATTAAAAAAAATAGATCGGTGTTGGCGATTTGGAGAAATTGGAAACCTCATACACTGCTGTTGGGGATGTAGATTGGTGTAGCCCTATAGAAGACAGTCTGGCAGTTCTTCAAAAAGTTAAACATAGAATTAACATATGATCCAGTAATTCTCCTAGGTATATACTCAAGAGAAATGAAGACATATGTCTGTACAAAAGCTTGTACAAACATAATCACTGAAGCATTATTCATAATAGCCAGAAAGTGGAAATAACATAAATGTTCATCAATTGATAAATAGATAAAATGTAATATATCCATATAATGGAATATTATTTGGTAATAAAAAGAAATGAAGCACTTTATTCAAAAAATTAAACTCTGCTATATGATCCAGCAGTTCCGCTTCTGGTTGTATACCCAAAAGAATTGAGACTCTGTTCAGTTGAACAGATATTTGTACATGCATGTTCATATAGCATTCATAATAGCTAAAAGATGGATGCAACCCAAATGTCCATTGTGGTATATACCTATAATGAAATATTTAGCCTTAAAAAGGGAAGAAACTCTGACATGTTACAATCTGTATGAACCTTGAAGACATGCTAAGTAAAATAAACCAATCACAAAAAGACAAATATGTCATTCCACTTACGAGGTGCCTAGAATAATCAAATTCATAGAAAGTGGAATGGTAGTTACCAGGGTCTTCAGGGAGGGGGAAGTGGGGAATTACTTAGTTTCAGTTTGGGAAGATGAAAAATTCTGGAAATTGATAATTGCTGGACAATGAGTTACTTAATGCCCCAGAAATGTAGAGTTAAAAATCATTAAAATGAGGGCACCTGGCAGGCTTGTTCACTGGAGTGTGTGACTCTTGATCTCGGGTTGAGGGCCGATGTGTTTTGGTTTTTTTTTTTTTTAGATTTTATTTATTTCTTTGACAGAGACACAGTGAGAGAGGGAACACAAGCAGCGGGAGTGGGAGAGGGAGAAGCAGCTTCCCGCGGAGCAGGGAGCCCGATGCGGGGCTCGATCCCAGGACCCTGGGATCATGACCTGAGCTGAAGGCAGACGCTTAATGACTGAGCCACCCAGGTGCCCCTTGGGGTTGTGATTTTGAGCCCCATGTTTGTCATAGACTTTACTTAAAAAAAACATACAGTTAAAATGGTAAATTGTATGTTATTTAAATACTTTTATGAGCCAAGCACTGGGTTGAGATGTAGGAATGAGATAGGCATGGTCCCTTCCTTCACTTAGTTGAACCAGCATAGAAGACAAGTAGAATACTTAACTCTATTGGGTATAACCTTCTCAGGATGGCCTTCACTAATCCTCTATTTAAAGCTGCTATGCTCCCCCCACTTTTTATTTTCCTCAGAGCGTTTATCACTGTCAGAAGTTTACCTTATGTGTATATTTCTCTTATTAGTCTCTCAGTTTCTTAAGAGACAGATACTTCCTGGTTTACAATTATAGCTCACTCAGCACCTAGAACAGTAGCTGGTGTGTAGTAGATGTTATATAAATATTTTTATGTTAATAAACACTGTGATATGGGAGATATAAGTTTCTTTGGGGGAAGAATGAGGAGGGACAGATTTGTGTGGGGATAGGAGTTTATTTAGAGAACACTTACAAGAAATGACATGTAAACTTAAGTTCTAAAGGAAAGATAAAGATTTTTTAAAAAGTAGAAAAGAGAGGGGCACCTGGGTGGCTCAGTAGTTAAGTGTCTGCCTTCGGCTCAGGTCATGATCCCAGGGTCCTGGGATCGAGCCCCACATTGGGCTCCCTGCTTGGCGGGAAGCCTGCTTCTCCCTCTCCCACTCCCCCTGCTTGTGTTCCCTCTCTCGCTGTGTCTCTCTCTGTCAAATAAATAAATAAAATCTTTAAAAAAAAAAAAAAGTAGAAAAGAGAATTTTAGGTAGCAGGGAGATAGTATTCAGGTAACAAGGTAGTTCACTGGGGCTCAAGAGGGGTATGGGTGTGTGGGAAGGCTTTGGCGAGAGAAGAGGCAGTAGTGCTCCAGGTCATGAAGGACCTTGTAAGCTATGACGTTAAAGCTGCCAGTTGATGACATCCTTTTCTTTCCCCCATCTAGGTGGCCCACAAACTCTTTAACAGCTTGAAATAAATGTGCATACTTCACCCCCGCCTTCATCACCCGGGCATCAGGATATTTCATGGTTTCGACCATGCCATTTGTTTCTTATCTGTGTAACTGTACGTTCATGTGAACCTCATGGATCTTGGCTTAGGCAAGTAACTTCTATGTAATTAGCAGTGATTCCTCTTAATAAAGTCCAGTGATCTGCAGACCTGCTGCCTCCTTTCCTCTTTTTTTTTTTTTTTTTTAATTTGAAAATCTCAAACATAAGACTAGGTAGAACAATAATCAACACCCATGTACCCATCACCCAGCAAGTATGTATCTCTTTTTTATTTTTATTTTTTAAGATTTATTTATTTGAGAGACAGTATGTGCTGGGGTAGGGGCAGAGGGACAGGCAGACTGCCTGCTGAGCAGGGGAGCCCAATGCGGGACTCAATCCCAGGACCCCGAGATCATGACCTAAGCCAAAGGCAGACACTTAACCTATTGAGCCACCCAGGCGCCCGCAAGTATATATCTCTTAATGATAAGGACTAACAAAGTTTACCTTTATGCCATTATCGCAGTTAAAATGAACAGTGATGGATGACTTAATTTTATTGGATACCCAGTCGATATGAAAGTCTCCTACCACAGAAGTGTCTTTTGACAGTTTTTGGTCTCAGTGTCCAACAAGGTTGCTTTTTTCTTTAAAAAAGATTTTATTTGATGGGGCACCTGGGTGGCTCATTCGTTAAGTGTCTGCCTTCGGCTCAGGTCATGATCCCAGGGTCCTGGGATCAAGTCCTGCATTGGGCTCCCAGCTCAGGGGGAAGCCTGCTTCTCCCTCTCCCACTCCCCTGTTTGTGTTCCCTCTCTTGCTGTGTCTCTGTCAAATAAATAAAATCTTTAAAAAAAAAAGTAAGAATTTATTTGAGACAGAGCATGAGTGGGGGGAGGGGCAGAGGGTAAAGCAGGCTCTTTCAGTCTATTGTCCTAGCTACAGGGATGGCCAGCATTTCACAGCCATTTCTGATTTAGAGCCCATTTCATGGTGATGTATAATCTCACAAATAACTTTATAAATGGTGGCATTGTATTTGTTGTATGTAATGTGATTATTTTCAAACATCTCATTAAAATTTCAAACATACGGCAAAGCTGAAAATTTACAGTGAACATCCCTAAACTCATTACTCAGATTTTAACGAATGGTATTCTAGTGTTAGTGTTATCACAGAAAGGAGGAATTACTCAGAGAAATAGCTCCAAATTCTGCCTAGAGGATGCTTGAGTCTGTTGGCTAAATATTAAGCTGCAAATGAATAGGGCAAAGCTCCCGTGTAGCCAGGCAATGAACTACTGGGTACTTATAAACTGAATAATACCCAAAGTTAACAGAAGGCTGGGAGATATTTGAGTTTTGACCAGCTAATGTGGGGAATTTTATTGAACTTGTTGAACACCTGTTGTTCAATGAACAAGCATTGAACTTGAACTCCAGAAGAGGGCGTTTCAGCAGTAGGGCTAAAATTAGCCCTAGAAAGAGGCCACTCAAGATAGTCTATACCCCATCTTAAAAAGGAGCCTTGAAAGGATCAAGCTGATTCACGAAAATACCTGACTGCCTGCCAGAACAAAGTCCAAGACATTTTAAAAGAAGTCAACAAAATCCAGCATTCAACAATGTAAATTTTATAATACCAAACATTGAATAAAAAATCGCTAGACCTGCAAAAAAAGCAGGCAAATGTGACCAGGAGAAAAATAGTCAATAAAAACAGACACATGATGATAAGATGATAAAATAGTAGACAAGGACTTTGAAAGCACTATTACAAATATACCAAAGGATTTAATGGAAATGAACATAATGAGAGAAGTAGAAAGTATAAAATGAATCAAATAGAATTTTTGGAACTTAAAAGTACAATATCTGGGGGCGCCTGGGTGGCTCAGTTAAGTGTCCCAACTCCTGGTTTCAGCTCAGGTCATGATCTCAGGGTTGTGAGATTGAGCCCCAGATGGGCTCCTCGCTCAGCGCCAAGTCTGCTTAAGATTCTCTCCCTTTCCCCCTGCCCCCACTCACGTGTTCTCTTTCTCAAAAAAAAAAAGTACAATATCTGAAATTTAAAATTCACTTAAGATTGGCAAAAGATTACACACTGAAGAAGAAAAAGAATAGGTGTGCTTGTATGTTCTTGAAGACACAGCAGCAGAAACCATAAAAACTTGAAGCACAAGAGAAAAAGAAACACTAAAAATAGATGAACAAGGAAAAGGTAAGCTGTGAGATAATACCAAATGGCCCAGAAGGGGGAGGGGGGGATTGGAGGGAAGAAAGAAAAGAAATTTTTTTTACCAAAATTACTTTTTTTGAAGTATACCAAATTACTTTATTTGAAGGAATGTTACAAATGAAAGAAAAGTCGACGTTTTGGAACAGAAAAAAAAATTTTGAGGGGTGCCTGGGTGGCTCAGTCAGGTGAGCATCTGCCTTCAGCTTGGGTCTTGATCTCGGGATCCTGGGATCAAGCCCCGCATTGGGCTCCCTGATCAGTGGGGTGTCTGCTTCTCCCTCTGCCCTTCCTTGTGCTCTCTGTCTCCAATAAATAAATAAATCTTTAAAAAAAATTTGAAACAGTAATGGTTGAAATTTTCCAAGTATAATGAAAATCATAAACTCACAGTTCCCAGAAGCTCAACAGACTCCAGCCAGAATAAACAGGAAATCACATCAAGTCACTTACCCCCAAATTGCTGAAAACTAGTGATAAGAAAATCTTAAAGAGAAAAGATGCATTACATACAGAGGCACAACAGTAAATTACTACCCACTTCTCTTAAGAAATCTTTAAAGTGTTGAAAGAAGTAAATATCCCAGAATTCCATATCTAGTGAAAATATCCTTAAATGAAAAAATTAGGATGTTTTAAACAAATGAAAGGTGAGAGAATTCATTGTCAGCAGACTTGGACTCTAAAAAAGATTAAAGGAAGTTCTTAAAAAAAAAAGACACTAAATGGAAACTTTGATCTACATAAAGAAATGAACAGTCCCAGAAATGGTAAATAAATGGGTAAATAGGGGAAGGAAGGGAAAAAAAAGAGAGGGAGGCAAACCATAAGAGATTCTTAATGATAGAGAACAAACAGCGTTGCTGGAGGGGAGGTAGGCGGGAGATGGCCTAGATGGGTGATGGGTATTAAGGAGGGCACCTGTTGTGATGAGCACTGGGTGTTATATAAGTGATATAAGTGATGAATCACTAAATTCTACTCCTGAAGCCAACATTACACTATATGTTATATATAAATTCTATATATAAATTCTATAAATAAAAACTTGAAAGAAACAAGGGGTGCCTGGGTGGCTCAGCTGTTAAGCATCTGCCTTTGGCTAAGGTCAGGATCCCCAGGGTCCTGGGATTGAGCCCCGTGTAGGGCTCCTTGCTCAGCGGAGAGCCTGCTTCTTCCTCTCCCTCTGCTGCTCCCCCTGCTTGTGCGCTCTCTCTTTCTGTGTCTCTGTCAAATAAATAAATAAAATCTTAAAAAAAAAAAAAACTTAAACAATAAATGGGTAATAGAATAAGTATTTTATTTAAAAATTTTATTAAAAGGTAGTTAGCAGGGCGCCTGCGTGGCTCAGTTGGTTAAGCGACTGCCTTCGGCTCAGGTCATGATCCTGGAGTCCCGGGATCGAGTCCTACATCGGGCTCCCTGCTCGGCAGGGGGTCTGCTTCTCCCTGTGACCCTCTTCCCTCTCGTGCTCTCTGTCTCTCATTCTCTCTCTCAAATAAATAAATAAAATCTTAAAAAAAAAAAGGTAGTTAGCAATAAAAAGAACACATTAAGTAGAAAGAAAGAAATTATAAAGAAATTTATGAAGTAGAAAAGAAAGGAGAAAACCAACAAAACCACAAACTGTTTCTTTGTAAAGTTCAATAAAATAAACCTCTAGGTAGGCTAATAAAATTACCCGAGAGAGAAGACACAAATTACCAGTATCAGTGATGAGAGAGGGGACATTACTATAGATCCTACAAATCGGGTCAGCAGCTTTTTTCTGTAAAGATTCAGATAGCAAATATTTTTGGATTGTGGAGCATATGATCTCTAGAGCAACCATTCATCTCTATTGTTGTAAAGGAACCACAGTAAATAAAAGGTGTGACTGTGTAAAAATAAAGCAGTATTTAAAAAATGGGTGGAAGGCTAATTTGGCCTGTGCTGTAGTTTGACGCCCCTTGCTAAACACACTAAAAGGAAGAAATCTGCCAACTTACATGAAATGAACATATTCTTTAAAAGTCTCAAATTGTTGGGGCGCCTGAGTGGCTCAGTTGTTAAACGTCTGCCTTCGGCTCAGGTCATGATCCCAGGGTTCTGGGATCAAGCCCCGCATCGGGCTCCCTCCTTCACGGGAAGCCTGCTTCTCCCTCTCCCACTCCTCCGGCTTGTGTTCGTTCTTTCGCTGTGTCTCTCTCTGTCAAATAAATAAAATATTTAAAAAATAAAATAAAATAAAAGTCTCAAATAGTTGAAACTGCTACAAGAAGAACTGGAAAATTCAAATAGCCCTATATCAGGGTTTCTCAAATTTTAGCAGTCTTGACATTTTGGGCTAGATAATTCTTTGTGTGGGGGCATAGGGTTTGCAGCAGCATCCCTGGCTTCTACCCACCAGATGCCAGAAGCACTGTCTAGTTATAATAATCCCAAATATCTCCAGAGGTTACCAAGTGTCCCCTGGGGAAGGGGCATCATCTCTGGTTGAAAATCACTGCCCTATATCAACGAAAGAAATTGAATTCATAATTAAAAACCTTCCCTTCCTCCTCACCCTGTACTCCCACCCCTGCAAAACAAAAACAAAAAAACACCCAAACACCCAACTCCAGGCCCAGAAGTCTTCACTGCTGAATTTGCAAGAATTTAAGGAAGAGTGGCGCCTGGCTGGCTCAGTCGGAAGAGCATGTGACTCTTGATCTTGGGGTTGTGAGTTTGAGCCCCACATTGGGTGGAGAGATTACTTAAATAAATAAAACTAGGGGCGCCTGGGTGGCTCAGTCGTTAAGCGTCTGCCTTCGGCTCAGGTCATAATCCCAGGGTCCTGGGATCGAGCCCCTCATCGGGCTCCCTGCTCCACGGGAAGCCTGCTTCTCCCTCTCCCACTCCCCCTGCTTGTGTTCCCTCTCTCGCTGTCTCTCTCTGACAAATAAATAAAATCGTAAAATAAATAAATAAATAAAACTAAAAAATAATAATAATAATTTAAGGAAGAAATGATACCAATTCTATAAAAATTCTTACAGAAAACAGAAGTGAAGGGATAGTTCACAAACTCATTTATGAGTTCAGCATTACCCTACATCAAAATCAAAGATATTACAGAAAAAGAAAATTTCCGGTCATTATGCTCCATGAACACAAATGCAAGAAGTAACAATATATAAAAAGAATAACAATATATAAAAAGAATAACATCATGAACTTGTATGTTTTTTTACAGGAATGCAAAGTTGGTTCATCATTTGAAAATCAGTCAATATAATTCATCATATTAACGATAAAGCAGAAAAAACATGATCAACTCAAATGCAGGAAAAGCATTTGAAGAAAGTCAACAACCATTCATGATTTTTATTTATTATTATTATTATTTTTTTAAGATTTTATTTATTTATTTGACAGAGAGAGACACAATGAGAGAGGAAACATCAGGAAGGGGAGTGGGAGAGGGAGAAGCAGGCTTCCCGCTGAGCAGGGAGCCCAATGTGGGGCTTGATTTCAGCACCCTGGGATCATGACCTGAGCCGAAGGCAGACGCTTAAAGAAAGAGCCACCCAGGTGCCCCTCATTCATGATTTTTAAAAAAATCTTAGGAAAGAAGGCAACTTTCTCAATCTAGTAAAGGACACCTGTTGTAAAAAAAAAAGCTAGAGTTAACATGATATATATTGATGAAATACTGAATGCTTTCCCCTGAAGAATGGACACAAGTCAGTCTACTAACATCTGTATTGAACTGTGTACTGTAAATTATAAACAGTAAAAGGATGCAAAGGAAAAAAAAGGAATTCAGATTGGAAAGAAGTAAAAGTGTCTTTATAGAAGACATAACCTCGTGCATAGAAAAAGTGAAAATATTTCCAAAAAAGTTATCAAAACATAATTTAGCTTAGCAAGATCTCAGGATATAAGATCAATAGACAAAAATAAATTATATTAAAAAAATCAAATATATTTTAATAGCATTTTCTTGAAAAATGAACAAAGTAAGCCTGTTACTTCAAGGAAAACAATTGATAGTACTAGTTGTCATAGATAAAAATTTAGCTTTCAAGCAAAATGAGGATTGGGAGGGGCGCCTGGCTGGCTCAGTCGGTGGAGTGTGCAACTCTTGATCTCAGGGTTGTGGGTTTGAGCCCCACGTTGGGCATAGAGGTTACTTAAAATAAAATAAAATAAATTAGGATTTTGAAAAACTTGCGCCCACTATTGTGAACTTAAAAGCATCCTAATATTTAAAGACTTTTCTTTTTTAAAGATTTTTATTATTTATTTAAGAGAGAGAGCACAAGCAGGGGGAGCTGCAGAGGGAGAAGGAAAAGCAGGCTCCCTGCTGAGCAGGGAGCCGAACTGAGCCAAAGACAGAGCCACCCAGGCGCCGATGGGTAAACAGGAGGTTGGGGGTTGGAAGGGGTCCTTCACAAGGAGATGGTGATTGTGGTCCTGACACTCCATATTTGGTATAAACCTTTGAGAACAGGTATTCTGGGATACCTCCTATTTAGAGTATTCAATCTCTGCTCACTGACTGGATCCTTATCTGGATTTAAATGTCATGAGCCATTTCTTTTTTCTTTCTTTCTTTCTTTTGGTGCAAAAAAGTGTTTTTATGATAGCATGGGGACAGGACTGGTGGGCAGAAAGAGCTTCCATGAACTTTTTTTAAAAAAGGCTTTTCTCTATGCACATATCTCCCTCCATCTTACAAGTGCTAGGTCCCTGTAACAAATTTCTCATCTTTCACTCACTCACTCACTCATTCAATAAATATTTATTGAGAGCAAAATATGTACCATACACAGTTCTAGGTGCTGATAATTCAACAATGAATAAACAAAATCCTTGGGCGCCTGGGTGGCTCAGTTGGTTAAGCGACTGCCTTCGGCTCAGGTCATGATCCTGGAGTCCCTGGATTGAGTCCCTGCATCGAGTCCCGCATGGGGCTCCCTGCTCGGCAGGGAGTCTGCTTCTCCCTCTGACCCTCCCCCTTCTCACGTGCTCTCTCTCTCAAATAAATAAAATCTTTAAAAAAAATAAAATCCTTGATTTTTAAAATCTTACATTCTAATGAGGGGGAAAATAGTAAGAAAAACTGTCCAGAACTTGTAAAGGGGCAGGAGAGAATTACTGGGTGCTCCTTCACCGTAGTGCTAGGGTATACCTTTGATAGACTTTATATTGACTAGGCTACTGCAGAACTTTGTAGGGGTAAAGGTTAACTTGTAGAAAACTAATGGCAATGCAAATGATTCCTAGCCATAGTAATGCAACTGAATTTTGATCAGTAGAGATGGAATTGATTTCCATCTGGTAGAAGCAATAAGCATTACAGTTTATTACTTAATAAGATATTAATGGTTTTACAACTCTTAGCAAATTGATTTCAGTATTCCTTTGGCTGATAACCTAAATCTCTTAAACTCAAATTCTCATTTGAACAAGTCTTTTTTTTTTTTTTAAAGATTTTATTTATTATTCATTTGACAGAGAGAGACAGCGAGAGAGGGAACACAAGCAGGGGGAGTGGGAGAGGGAGAAGCAGGCTTCCTGCGGAGCAGGGAGCCCGATGCGGGGCTCGATCCCAGGATGCTGGGATCATGACCTGAGCCGAAGGCAAACGCTTAACGATTGAGCCACCCAGGTGCCCCTCATTTGAACAAGTCTTACCATCTAGCTGGTTCCCTCATTATTTAGGATAATAATGGAGAAGCAGTTTATTATGATAAATAAAATCTTTGGCATGTGTTCATTTTATCTTTGTATAAGAATTATGTTTCCAATCTTTTGAAAATTATAATTTAGCAGACTGTATGAAAAAATACATGATATAATAAAAGCAGGTTAAGAGGACAGCTATTAACTGGTGGTGTAGCATGTACTAGTTTAAATAGATGGGGCCAATCAATCAACAAATCCTGTAATTCTCTCTGAATTGTAAGTGGAATCAATCCTTTTCTATCTTCACTGGCACTACACTAATTCAGAACCATCTTCTTTCATCTGATTTCCCTGCCATAATCCTATTTACTCCAATCATCAACGGTCAGATGATTTTTCTTTTTTTTTTAGTGATAAACACAAGATTCTATTTGTGATATTTAAAGTTTTGGGAACTACTCCTGTAAATGTGGAAATAAAAGTGTATGTTTTTCACTGGAACTTTACAACTCACATTAAGAATAATACTGTTTAGGGAAGCCTGGATGGCTCAGTTGGTTGAGCGTCCGCCTTTGGCTCAGGTCATGATCCCAGGCTCCTGGGATCAAGTCCCGGATGGGGCTCCTTGCTCAGTGGGGAGCCTATTTCTCCTCCTGCCTGCCGCTGCTCACCCTGCTTGTGCTCTCCCCCGGCTGTGCTCGCTCTCACTCTCTGACAAATAAATAAAATCTTAAAAAAAAAAAAACAAAACACAGTTTGAGCAAAGGTTAAAAATTCCCTCATTCACATGTAGCTTTGACAGTTCACAATCCATAAAATACTGGAAAAGCTCAAAGTGCTACAAAGTTTCTTCACTACTTCTAATTTTCTATGGTAGTGAAGAGATTGTCTTAAAATTCACACTTGCTTCATCACTCCTGTAACTCCAGTAAAAATGTACCCAAATTTCCTGCCTTCTGAAAGCGATATGACTCTTCGATGGAGTTTGAAACAGTGACTGATTACTTTTGAATACTTAAGCTCCACTGGCTGACAGCTCACATCTGTACTTCTGACTCACTACCTAGAGATCAGAGGTCCCCACGACCCCCTCCTTGGGCTGTAGTAACTTGCTGGAGCAGGTCATAGCTCTCAGGAGACCCGTTTCTCACTTGATCACTGGTTTATTACTAAAGGATATAACTCAGGACAGTCAGATGGAAGAGATGCATAGTGCAAGGTATAGATAGGGAAAGGACAGGGAGTTTCCATGCTCTCTCCCAGCATTTCGGTGTATTCACCAACCGGTAAGCTCCCAGATGATCATTTTTAAAAACACCTATCTGATCATATTCTTCCTTTCTACGGGCTCCCTATGGTGAAGTCAAGTTCTATGGCGCCTATAGCTTACACAATTCAAGGGCCCTCTCGGTAAGAAAAACAATACAATATTAAGGACAGAGCCTTGGAAGGGGCACTGGAAATAGGTTCTTCAAGCTTCGTTAGCTCCACTATAAATCCGCCTCTGCCCACAAATCTGTCCTCGTTTTTCTCTGCCTCAGGATCTTTCTGCTTGGAAGGCCCTTCCCGACCCTTTTTGCCTAGCTAACTCTTTCAGTACTCAACTGCCAGCGCCTAGTCCTCTCTGATCCCCCAACTGGGTTAGGGGCCTTTACGCAGTCTCTCCCAATGCTCCAAGCAGAGGCATCTTTCTGTGCGAGTGGTTCCTCTTTCCCAACACCCACAGAAGATCCCTGGCGGAGCGGGGTTTGCACCTGGTTTGTAAAGGTGGGCTGAACCCCGGAAGAGAGACCGCCGGAATTCCCTCCTATTTTCGCCCAGAGTGGCGCCACCACCTCTCCGGAACCCGCGGGTCCGCTGTTGCGGTTCAGGTCGGAATTATTCGGCGGTGCACGCTGATATGGCTGCGCTGGTAGTGAGACGAGTTCGGGACGTGCTGAAGCGTGCACACTTCGCGACCATCCCGCGGAGACATCGACATAAGAAGAAATGGGTAAGATCCGGCCGGTGGCCCAGGAGGGAACAGCGATAGCGGCCTTTTGCCGCCGCCCCTCGGGAAACTTCTCCAGCCCCGCCACTTCCCAACCCTCTCGGATAGGTTCACTGCTCCCGCCCCTCGGGAACGCCTTCGGCCTCTTTTCCCCGCCCCTCAGGGTACGTCTCTAGGCTCCTCCCTTTCACATCTGTTATGTATTCGCTTCTATCGCCCTTTTATTTCGTCACAAAGCTTGGGCTGTCGCTCGGGTTACGTCTGAGCCCTCCCGACTCCGCCCCTCTAAGTTACGTCATCACCGCCGCCCTCATTCTTTCAGTTATGTCACCGCTTCTTGTTCCCTGGCACCGTCCCCTTGGCCCCCACTACCCCTTCCACTTCCCCTCCTCCCTCTCCGTCCCCTTCTTTCCTACCCCGTCCCCCCTTTCTCCCTCCCTCCATGACCTCTTCTCCGCCTTTCCCCCTAGAACTTTCAGCCCGGCCGCCCTCACCCCTCGAAAAATGTTTTAGCGACAACCCCTTCCTTCCTGGGTCTGCGCCGCCCTCCGAGAAAGGATTCAACCCCATCCTCACCCTCGAGCTGCCTCTGGCGTCCAGGAAAGGTTACAGCGATCACCCTGCCCACACTCCTGGCCTTTCCCCAAACTCAGGCAAAGGGTGCAGCGACTCCCCTCACCCCCTGGACTCTCCCCACTTCTCCAGAGACCCTTTCTCTGGCCTCACCTGTAGGCCAGGAATTTCTTCCCTAACCGCCACGCCCCCCTCCCTACCTCGACCGATTCCCTCCCCGCCCCCACCGCCCCCCTCTCCACCTTCACAGCCTCCCCTGCGCCCGGGGAGATGTTCGTTTGAACCATGTTCTCCACTCCTTGGAAGGCCTTTCCGCCGCGAGCCTATCCTCTCTGGTTCGACCCCTTCGAGCCCTTGTTTTGAGCGGTTCAGCCTTCTGGGGTCACCCCCTGTTCGTCCACGGAGCCCTTATTGCAGCTGGATCAGTCCCCCGAGAACACCGCATCCCTGTCCCCGAAGCCCTTGCATTGACCAGCAGGCTTGCCTCTGTTATTATGGTGGATACCCTTCAGTCCTGGTAACCAGCCCGGTGACTTCCCCTACTCTCCCTCATCGGCCATTGGGAACCAGCCCGGTGACTTCTCCTGGACGCCCTCATGGGCCTTTGGAAACTGGCCCCATGATTTCATCTTCCATCACTCCTGGGTCCCAGGGAACTTGCCCCATTATTTCACCTACTCTTACTCATAGGCCCCTGGGAACTGCCGTCGTTATTTCACCTCCTCTTGCTCACCGGCCGGTGGAAATTAGATCTGTAGTTTCCCCACCCCTTTCTTCCAGGGTTTTGGAAACTGCGCCCAGGGTCTCCCCTCTGCTCTGTCCCTGGTCCTCAGGCAGAAGTTACAATGACCCTCCACCTTCCCCTGCATCTTCCCCACACACTGGCAGCTTTTGCCGTAGCCACCTTAAGCCTCCAGACCCTTGTGAACCTAAACCACAGCTTGACCTGCCCCTTGGGAAAAATTGCTGTGGCTCCCCACTTTCTTCTCAGGCAGGCACATCTGGCTCTCCCAGCTCACGTCAGGAGGGCTCTTTTCACTATTCCCATTTTTCTCAAGAGGCTACCCCTGGTAGCCCTTGTTGTGCCATCCGTCTACCTGCTAGGAGTACTTGTACTCCTTGCTCACCCCAGTCCCAGGCTCCTGTGAAGCCTTGCTTTGAGTCCATTTTCGCCTGGGAGACTGGTGGGAACTCTTGCCTCTTTGTAGAGTCAGGCACCACGATTTCTTGTCCCCCCTGTCCCCAGGAACCACCTCTTCCCCTGTCCTCTCACTGTCCTTATTCTGTCTTCTCCTTCCCTTCACCCTTGGGCAACCAGTTTATATCTCCACCCCAGTCACCCCCCCGCAGAGGCTATAACGAACCCCCTCTCCCTACCTCAGTTGGCCCACAAGTGAAGTCCCCCAAATCCTCAGAGTTAAAACAACCACGTGCTCTCCACAGATGTCGCTCCCTGATCATCCCTCTCCAGCACACTCCTCTTGACCTGCCCAGGCCCCCTAAGGCCAGTGCTTCTCCTCCACCTCCCTCCTGCCCTTCTGGTCCTTCTTGTATGGTGACATCCATTACCACTTGCTCAAATCCCTGCCCCAAAGAACTTCCCCAAGGACCTGCCTTACCTACTGTGATCCCTAAAACCCTCAAACCCGTTCTCCCCACTTGTCTTCCCCTTCGCCTTCCTCTTTGTCCTGTCCCACCCAATAGTTATGTTCAGAGCACCTCCTATGGACTCCCCATAGGACCCCCGTGCAATACCCATATATATTCTGTGGTTCCCCCCACCTCTGATCCTTGCCCATTCCTCGGCCCCCCCCAGTGTCATAAACTGACCGTGGTGCCCCCCTGTGGCATCTATAGCACTCCCAGGGGCCCACCCCAACCTCATCGCCAGCCTGTACCACCTTCCTGTTCCACCCACATCTATTCTTTTATCCCTTTGCGAGCACCCTTTGATCCTCAAAGTTTACCCATTGTCCCCCAAGCCCGGTGCCACCCTGTGGCCTGTGACACCATGCCCTGTGGCCTCCATGTCTATTCTGTGGCTCCTCGAGGCTGCTGCAAAGAGCCCCCCCAGGTTCCCTATAGCTGTCCTTTGCCTTCTTCCAAGACTTCCAGCTGTAGCACTGATCTCAGCTGCAGTTCAGCTGTTGTTATCAGTGAATGCCAGAGTAGTGACAGCCAGAGCAAGAATACCCACCAAAGCAGAAATCGGGGCCGGAGTGAGAATAGCCACCACCCCAGCAGAAGTCAAAGTCAAAGCAAGAGTCTCGACCCTCAAAGAAGTCAGAGCCGGAACAGGAGTCCCAGTCGAAAGAGAAGTCAGAGCCGGAGCAGTGGTCCCCACCAAAGCATAAGTCAGGATAAGAGCGAGAGTCCTCAGTGTAATGGAAATCAGGGCCAGAGTGAGAGTTCTCAACGTAGCAAAAGTCAGGGCACCGGCAAGAGTGCCCTCCGTGGTGAAAGTCGGAGCCGAAGTAAGAGTCCCCGCCACGGCAAAAGGCGGGGCCACGGCAGGAGTCCCCACCGTAGCAGGAGCCGGAGCAATAGTCCCTGCCCCAGCAAAGGTCATGGTCGGAGCAAGAGTCCCCGCCATAACAAGAAATGAGGGCCAGAGGACGAGTTCTGACCAGACCAAAGTGTAGGCCAGAGCAAAATGAACAGACAGTAATAGGACTGCTAGCCCGACCGAGTATCCCAGCTGTGGCCACAAGAACCTACCTGAGGACCCCTCAGCTGATGTCTTCATTTTCCTTTTAATCTGTGTTTATGCTCTGCATGCCTGAATCCTGTCCCTCTCTGCTACCCCCATAGAAGTCCCTGTTTTGGTTTATACCACAAGGTTTCTAGGAGTTCTCCTTATCCCACCTTCCTGGGCTCTAGGAACTCTCCCAAAATGACCCTCAACCCTGTTATTCTGAGCATTATGGTGTCAGTCACCGCATGACCTTAGGTAAGTTACCTTTATCTTTCCATCAAATGTGGAAGGTTGATATTTGTATCCCACTGAGCTGTCTGTCTTTTGTGGTGCTCACATAAGCTAGGAGACAAGAAAATGCCTTAGAAGACGGAAGGGCTGTTCAGAGAGAAAGCATCTTTTGTTTTTAAGGCTGAGGCTTCCCCCAGGGCCCTCATAGTTTCTTTTTCTTTTTTTTTTTTTAAAGATTTTATTTATTTATTTGACAGAGACAGAGACAGCGAGAGCAGGAACACAAGCAGGGGGAGTGGGAGAGGGAGAAGCAGGCTTCCTGCTGAGCCGGGAGCCCGATGTGGGACTCGATCCCAGGACCCTGGGATCATGACCTGAGCCGAAGGCAATTGCTTAACCAACTGAGCCACCCAGGCGCCTGGGCCCTCATAGTTTCTTCCAACCTTCTGTAGACTCTCCTCAAAAGTCCTATCGTGAGCTTCCATTCTCTTAAGTTCTTCTTACTCCCAGGCCTCAAGGATTGCCCCCTTTCTTGGTGACCCGCACATGCCGTTGTGAGAGCTACAGCTTGCTTTCTCACAACCCTGAGACAGAAAGGCCAGCTCCCCACTACTTTTCTCTTTCATACTTCTTTTCTGGCGGGCAGAGGCAGGATGCAGAGGCAGGAGTGGGCAGTGGCTGGATCCGCGTTTGCTGCAGGGCTCTGAGGTATTGGTGAGGTCAGGTGGTAGGGGAGAGGCAAGACTGGAAGACCAATAAGCCTGTTCTTTTCCTTTCAGGCTGCCACAGAGCCCAAATTTCCTGCCACTCAACTGGCTCTGCAGAATTTTGACATGACTTACAGTGTGCAATTTGGTGATCTCTGGCCATCCATCCGGGTCAGTCTCCTTTCAGAGCAGAAGTATGGTGCACTGGTCAATAACTTTGCTGCCTGGGATCATGTGAGTGGTGAGCTGGAGCAACTGAGGGCCAGGGACTTTGTGAAGGAAGCCATTTCCCATGGGGAACTGGAGCCCGAGGGTGGCCAGACTCCAACTCCAGCCTCCGGGGCCTACAGCCCGAACCTTCGATGTTTCACTTTTGCCAGAGGGGATGTCAGTCGGTTCCCTCCTGCCAGGTAGGATCTGGGTTGTCCTGAGTGTGCTGGAAGTAGACAGAAAGAGACCCAGCTCTTGTCCTGTTTCATAAGGATCATAATATTGCTGATATTTTTCGAGTGCTTATATATGCTAGGTGTTTTTCTAAGTGTTGTGTGTGCGTTATCTCCTTTTGTTCTGTCAACAGCCCTCTGAGGTAGGTAATCTTATTGTTCCTCTTTTACATTTGAGGAGACAGGTGCAGAGAAGTTAAGGTACTTGCTTGCTTTAGGTCCCTGAGAGAGCAAGTGGTACAGCTAGTATTTAGACCCAGGCAGGTTGATCCCAGAACCTGTTCTGCTCTGTTTTCCCCTATGGAAGACAGCCATCTCTAATTTGCGCACTTCCCATGCCCTCTACAGTTAAAATGTGTATTATTTGCAACTGCTTTCTCATTTTGCCCTCTTAGCTCCCATCCAAGTGAGTAGGACAAGTAACCTCCTGGTACCAAAGAACGAGGGAGACTTACCTAGGGACACAAAGTTAGTACCAGAGGGGTTGGTGATGAGGGGACTTCTGGTCTTCTCATGCAGTGCTCAGCTGAAGCCTTCATGGAACTTACGGTCTAGTGAGGAAGACAATAGTTAAGAAACTATAATTGTGATAAGTGCTATGAAGGAAAAGTACAAGATGCTATGAAGTTTTATAATTAGGAGATCTAACCCAGTCTTTTCTGAGGAAATGAAATTTAAGCTAAGACCTGAAAATGAGTAGGAATTAAAGCTGGTGGCATGAGGGTGGGGATGGGGGTGCAAGGCTACAGAAGCTGGCAGAAGCCAGATTTTGAAGGTCTTCTAGGCCATGTGGGATTTTGGACTTTTTCTCTAAAAGAGAGAGGGAGCCATGAAAAGTTTTAAGGTGGGGAATGACATGACCAGATTTGAATTTTTAAAATTCTGGCTGCTGGGGCACCTGGGTGGCTCAGATGGTTAAGCATCTGCCTTCAGCTCGGGTCGTGATCCCAGGGTCCTGGGATCGAGCCTCACATCGGGCTCCTGGCTCAGCGAGGAGCCTGCTTCTCCCTCTCCCTCTGCTTCTCTCCCTGCTCATGCTTTCTCTCTCTCTCTCTTTCTCTCTGTATCTGCGTCTCAAATGAATAAATAAAATCTTTAAGAAAAAAATTTTAAAAAAAATTAAAAAAAATTCTGGCTGCTGTGTGGAAAACAGATTGGAGAGGGGCAAGGCTATGTATGACATATGAAATGGGGATGTAAATTAGGAAGCTTTTGCAATAGTTCTAGCTACTGGCTTGAGGGAAGGCTGCATGCTTAGGAAAACTAGGAGGTGAGGCTAGAAGAGTATGTGGGGGTGCTATGTGTGGGCATCTTGAATGCCAGGAACTTACAGGTTTAGAGAAGGGGATTTTCCTGATGGCCCAGGGTTGCTTATAAATGGCTAGACTTGCCAGGGCTGGATGGCTTCAGACCATGCACCCTTTAGTTCCATATTGTTGTAAATTGCCAAGATCTGTTCTAGAGAACCACTGGAAAGGATTTTTGAGTAGGGGAAAGGCAGTAATGCACAGTGGTTATAAGCATGGGATTTGGAGTCAAGAAAACCTAGATTTGGATTTTGCCTTCATCACTTACTGGGCATGTAGCTTTGGATAACTGACCCTTGGTTTCCTTATCTGGAAACGAATCTGGAAAATAATGGCACTGATACTCTAGCTCATGTGCCAGCTATTGTTCTAAGCACGTAACTTCTATTAATTCCTTTAATCCTCACAATCATCCTTTCTGGTAGGCACTCTTATTATGGACGAGGACACTGATGCACAGAGAAGTTGAGTAATTTGCTAAAGGCACACAGTTGTTGAGCAGCTGGGCTGGATCCAGATGGTCTGGCTCTGGAATCTGGGTTCTCCTGCCTCACAGGGTCCTAGTGAGGACTAAATGAAGTGATGTATCTGAGACACTAGTACAGCACCTACAGTATAGCACTCACAAACAGTATCTCTTACTGGTGGTATTCTTCTCATCAAAGTTATGCTTTAGGAAGATCATGTTAGTAAATTGGGGTGAGAGGGGGATAGATTGGGGCAGGGTTGGAGATCAATTTGGAGGCGCTGGTTTTAGGCAGAACTGTGGATGCAGCACCATGTGGTTTCCTAAGTTGCCTGAGGTGGTTGGCTTCTACTCAGAGAGGTTTGGGTTTCCTTCTTGTCTTGATAGGTTCCATATAAATCAAGGGAATCCTAATCTCCCAGGAGGTCAAGGATGTATTTACGGAGTCCAGGAATCTCCTGAAATTATCTGAAAAATTGTTGTGCCTTTTTTTTTGAAAGAGGGACTGTAACTTTCAGCAGATTTCAAAACTGAACCAAAAAAGAGTCGAGTGACACTTCCAAAAGGAAGGAACTGATGACAATGGGTTTCATAGACCTGTGCTAGTGTGATAGGAATTCTGTGCTTTTCTCAGATTTCTTGTCATTCTCCATGAGGCATGAGGCACACAGTTTCAGGGACAATCCAAGTGTGATTCGACTTTGAAAATATCCCACCATACTCTGAGTCTACTTGTGAAGGTGTCACAACCTCAAACCTGGGGACTGTAGCTCTTGTAGTGGATCCTCAGTGGTACTATGTCTCATGTCTTGTCACATCTTTCTCCCAGAGCCTTCCTGTCAGGGCAGCAAGAATCAGGTTTCTGTCTCCTTGAGTCTGTCCCCAATGGCTGAGCTGTGTGTCAGGCAGGAGAATGGCTTATGAAAACTGGCCTGGGAGTGAGGAGTCCTGTGACCATTAGGTTGCTGTTGTCTGTTGTCTCTATCCACATGGTTCCTGCCTATCTTCTTATCACAGCCTTCTCACTTTGTCTATTTCTAATTTGTTCTTTCTAACCCACCTAGCTTTCTAAAACTCTATTCAGATGATCATGTCCCTTTCTTTATAAACTTTGGTAACTGCCTGCAGGTTACAGTCCAGACTCCTTAGGATAGGGTTTAAGGCTTTTTACAACCTGGCCTCTATCTGCTTTCCAACCTCAATCTCATTCACCTTGTATTTCTACTACACCAGATTTCTCACTGTTTCTGAAAGGAGCTATGAGTTTCCCTGCTTCCATGCCTTTGCTTGCTCTTTTTTCTGCTCTTGGAATGCTCCTGTTTCTTCCTCCCTTCCTCTCTTCTTCCCTTTCTTCCCCTTCCTTTACCTAATGAGGGCCTATTTCTTCATCAGGCCTGACTCAGGTGACTCTGAGAGGCACAATTAATGGTATTCTTCTCTAAACCCACAAACAATTTTGTGTCTTAATATGTAATCCAGTAAGACCAAGTTCCTCCTATATGCCAGGCGGTGTTTTAGGTGCTAGGGTTATTATAGTCTCTGCCTTCATTCTAAAGAGGGAGGAGGAGGAGAGGACACACACACACACACACACACACACACACACACACACATCTGTACATGTATATAAAGTGAACAATAAGGCTTTAAAGAAAAGTAATGTAACAGAGAGATAGGAGGTGATGGGAGTAGGGGTGCTATTTTTAGATAGAGTAGTCAGGGAATGCCAGTGCCTCTCTGATGAGATAACTTTTTGTGGAGAGAACTTTGAGGAGAGACTGAAAAAAGTGAGGAATCAAATCAGGGCTGTTTGGGGGAACAGTTTTGTGGGTAGAAAGTAGAACAGCTATAAAAGCCTTAGATTAGAGCATACCTGGCTTAATTAAGGAAGGGCAAGATGGCTAGCTTGGCTGGATTAGAGTGAATTGATATGTGGGGTTTTGTTTTGTTTTTAAGATTTTCTTTTTAAGTGATCTCTGCACCCAACATGGGGCTCAAACCCACAACCCTGGAGGCACCTCAGTGGCTCAGTAGGTTGGGCCTCAGGCTCTTGGCTTCAGCTTGGGTCATGATCTCGGGGTCCTGGGATTGGACCCCGCATCTGGCTCTGAACTCAGCATGAGTTGGCTTGTCCCTCTCCTTCCCCCACTGCTTCTCCCCCGCCACCCTAATGCGTGCACTTTCTCTTCTTTCTCTCTAATAAATAAATAAAATCCTTAAACAAAACAAAACAAAAAAACCCACAACCCTGAGACCAAGAGTTGCATGCTCCACTGACTGAGCCAGCCAGATACCTCTCGATCTGTGTTTTAACTGGGTCACTCTGGCTGCAGTGTGGATGAATGAGTGAGTGAGTGGGTCTGAGAAATGAGTTTTTGCTGAATAGAACTCAGTAGCGCCTGAGGGCATGGACTTGGTGGCCTTGACTTCCATTGGGTCTCCTGACCTAGAATTTGACTCTAAGGTGGTCTCCTCTCTTCTAGGCTTGGCAGCCTGGGTGTCATGGACTACTACCTGATGGATGCTGCTTCCTTGCTGCCTGTCCTGGCCCTTGGCCTGCAGCCTGGCGACACTGTGCTTGACTTATGTGCAGCGCCCGGGGGAAAGACACTAGCACTGCTTCAGACTGGCTGCTGCCGTAAGTCAGAGGCCTGGTGTCTTGGGCAGGGAGGGCTCCCTCCCTCACCCAGTCAGGGGCCTCCCGAATCGGATGGGCTCTCTGGTCCCAGGGTCAGAGGGGGTACAGTGCTCGCTTGCTAAGGTGGTGTATTTTTGTTTGCAGTTTTCTCCTCTCTTCCTCTGTCAGTTGGCCAAGGAATATTGCTGAGCTGAGCAAGGTCTCCGAAGGCAGATTAAACCAGGGCCCTGATCAATCTACGCATGACACTTTCATTCCTCTGTATCTGTTTACTTTTGTCTCTAAGGTTGGGTTCGTTTCCTTAGTCCGCCAACTAAAGCAGTAAGATCTGGCTGCAGCCACCCTTTATGGCTTTATGTCAGTCTTCCCCAGACTTTGTGTGCTTCAGCCACATTCTGCTACTCTCTGTTATTTGAATCAGCCTCCATCTTTTGCTCCTGTTCCATTTTCTCTCTAGAATACCCTCCACCCTATCCCAGCTGGCCTGCCTATAGCCTTTTAGCTTTCGGCCTCAGCTCAAGTGTGCCACCTCCTGGAAGTCTCCCCTCATGACCTCTGTCGGCCGGTTGCAAAGCGTCGCCTGTGTCCTATGCTCCCGGGCTGTGGGTGTCACCCTGGCAACCGTAGGCACATTAGCCTTGCACCAGAGCTTTACCGGGTACGCATCGTCTCCCTCTTTAAGAATGAATTCCTTGGCGACAGGCCCAAGTTTTATTCATCTCAGTACTTGCAGCCACCAGCCCGGGCCATGTGCACTGTAAGTGTTCGGTTATCTACTGGCTGACGTCCTGCCTTAAAACAGGCAGCCTTTTTTCCCTGGAGACCGGAGAACTATCCAGACGGGGGCTGTTGTTTTTCCACTCACCCTGGAGGTCAGTCAGGCTTCTCTTGCCTTATCCCTGAGCCTTTTTTGCGGAGCTCGCCCCTTCTCTTCCAGTTCTCGTCAGCCAGCTTGCACAGTTTGGGTTAGCTTCTAGCCTCATGGTTGGCCCTGTAGGTGATTGCAAGGTACCACATTTGATCTTACCTTTTGGAAGTGCAGACGGAGAGGAGAAAAAGTGTTGATAGGGTTTAATGAGTCCAGTGCAGGAGAGCCCAGCCTCTGTGCTGGGCTGTGCTGATCTGACTGAGTGCTGTGGGAATCCACGAGAAAGGGGATGAGTGAGGTGGGGTTACTTGGAAGAGGAGGAACTTGAACTTTTAACCCCTTTTAACCAATCTTTTCTTCCTGCCTTGAATTTGAATGTGATAACTGGAGTTCTAGCAGCCAAGAGGCAGGAGAAGAGCCAAGGAGAAGTCATTGAGAGTTGCTTTTCTAAGGTGTACTAAATTACCAGCACCTTGCCCCCTTCCCAGCTCCTTACCCAAGGGAGTCCTTCATCCCAGTGGAAGGAAGCAACTGAGTTTCCCTAGTTTAGCCCTCCTATTTTAGGGAGGGGGAAATTGAGTCCTAAAGAGATTAGATACTTTTACCTGAGTTGGAGATAGAGCCAGAACTGGAACCCAGCTTTTCTGTACTCCGTTCATGTCCTTCTGCAAATTCCTCTTGAGCAGAGAATCCGATTTTTACTTCTTTAAGTGCCCTCAAAAATTGGGACTCTATATCTTTGTGGGAACACTAAGCTGGCATGGTAGTGATCACTCCCATAAGGTATAAGGTATGCACTCTCTAGTTCTTCACCATAGTTCCTGCCTCTCCCTTTCACTTCATGACTCTGAGGCCAGGTATCAATCACAATTTATCATCAAGCTTGCAGTAATGTTTTCTCTTACAGTAGAGCCAAGAGCAAAGTGAACTATTTCTTGAACTTTGTGTCTGTCACAAAAGGGAAAGTAAAAGATAGATGGTGAATCAGTTAGGATTAGGTTTGCCATATACAATAGAAAATCAATGCACTGGCTTAAAGAAGAAAAGTTTTTCTCTCTTATATAAGAGAGCTGGGATATAGGCAGTCCAGGGCTGGTATGGAGTCTCCACAAACATCAGGGACTTGGGCTCCTTCTTTCTTTTTGCAGCCTATTTTATTTCAGGCTTCCATCCTCAGGATTGCCTCATGGTCCAAGATGGCTGCTAGAACTCCAGTTACCACATTCAAATTCAAGGCAGGAAGAAAAGATTGGTTAAAAGGGGTACATCTAATTGTGTTAGCTTCTTTTAAACATCTTCCCATAAGTCCCACACAATAATTATGCCTACAATCATTGACCAAAACTTAGTCATAAAAGGAGGCTAAGAAATGGGGCACATTGCTCCCCTCTCCCTCAAATAAAATTGGAGTTCTATTACTAAGGAATGAGAGGGAAAAAAATTTTGGTAAATAATGTGTGGTATCTGCCAAAAATGAAGAGAGAGACACATTTCAAAAAAGTAGGAGAGAGCATACTTATTTAGAAATATTCATACTTGGTCTACTTTATTTATTTATATATCCTCTCTGGCCTGGGTTTGTGGTTGCCTTTGCAACCCCTGCTTTAGAGTGTCTAGTACTGTGCCATGTACATAATAAACATGTCTTCTCCACTTGCCTCTGCCCCTGGGGTCTGCATTGATTGGCTATGCCCAATAATTGGTCTGACTCTCCATCAGCACCATTGCTGGTGGGATGTTTCGTTGGGGCATGGCCTTGAAGTTTCTTTATTCTCACAGGCATAAAATGTCCCTACTACCCACAACCATCTATAGATTCAGTGCAACCCCTATCAAAGTTCCAATGGCATTTTTTTCCAGAATTAGAAAAAACAATGCTAAAATTTATATTCCCACAGGCAATCTCGCTGCCAATGATGTCTCCACTTCTCGAACAGGCAGACTACAGAGGGTCCTTCACAGCTATGTGCCTCAAGATATCAGGGATAGAAATCGAGTTCGAGTCACCTCATGGGATGGCAGGAAGTGGGGAGAACTGGAGGGGGACACCTATGACCGGGTGAGTGATTCCTGACCTGAGACATCCAGCTAGCCAAATCTGGCCTTCCTGTCCCAGCTCCAGGCCCTCAGCAGGTAGGATCCAGCCCTCCATATTTGAGGATGGAGGGCCATTTCTGGACCTGGCCACCTCTCCATGGGTGATTGGGAGAACACAGCCATCTGCACAATCGTTGGTGGTATCTTCATTAGAGACAATTAGCAGGAAAGAGTTTGAGCCTGACTGAGTGGGAAAAGGGTTAGTAGACTTATTTTACTTCTCAACTCACTTGGTTGCTCAGAAACCCTGATTAAAATAAATATGAATAAGCTAATTTATTTTTGAATATTAATACAGCACATGGTGCAAAATTCAGAAGGTGCAAAAGGGTATCTAGTGAGAAGTATGCTTCCCTTTTACTCCTGTCTCACAGCCATCCTTCCTCTCCCCACAGATGACCATTGTTTATATTTTCTTCTGTATCCTTTAAGATGTATCCTTTGTGGATATACAAATACAAATGTGTGTGGTTCTTTTTTTTTAGAGAGATAGAGTGTGTGCACATGTGTGCATGCAAGCAGGGCAAGGGGCAGAGGGAGAGAGAGAATCTCAAGCAGGCTTCACACTCAGCCCAGAGCCTGATGCAGGGCTCGATCTCACAACCTTGAGATCATGACCTGAGCTGAAACCAAGAGTCAGATGCCCAACCGACTGAGCCACCCAGGCGCCCCAATGTATGTGTATTTTTGAAAAAAGGAGTCGTGGTGTATTAATTTCACTATTTGAACTTTGTAGTATTTTCATTTAGTAATGTACCCTGAGGTTCAGTCCTTTTAAGTTTTATGCTTTTTAAGTACCATTGCTGGAAAACAGTTTATATGCATCTAAGATTTTTTTTTTTTTTTTTTTTTTGCATCTAAGATTTTGACAGAGTGTACTAAATCACTCTCTGTGGAGGCTCCATCGGCTTCCTTCCTACTGGTAACGCGGAAGAGTTCCGTGTCCTCATATCCTGCCACCACTGGTGTTCTTAAACTTTTTGGGTTTTGCCAACTGATAGCATCTAATTTATATTCTCTTATTATGAATGATGTTGAAAGTCATTCCCTAGGGCGCCTGGGTGGCTCAGTTGGTTAAGCGACTGCCTTCAGCTCAGGTCATGATCCTGGAGTCCCTGGATCAAGTCCCGCATCGGGCTCCCTGCTTGGCAGGGAGTCTGCTTTGTCCTCTGACCCTATCCCCTCTCATGTGTTCTCTCTCTCTCATTCTCTCTGTCTCAAATAAATAAATAAAATCTTTAAAGAAAAAAAAAAAAGAAAGAAAGTCATTCCCTATCTTTAAGTTATTTGCATTTTCTTTTAATTGGCGTATTCTAAAAGTATTTATTAAAACATATACTTCTAAAAATATAAAAAAATATATAGCTCTTGTCACTCTATTGTCATCTGACTCGATCTAATCTGTCCAGTTCTCACCATTCTGGCTCAACCACTCTAAGAAATTGAAAGACCAAGGCTTATAGAATCTTGGATAGGCTTAAGAGGTCTGCTTCTTGCCTGTGTAGGAATCCCCAGTTCAGCTTTTTTGACATGGAGACAGCAGAACAGAGTGGATAGAGCATGACCTCTGCTGTCCACCTAACCCGTGTCTGTACCACAGGGCTGCCACTTACTGACTTTGGGCAAGTTGCTTCCTCTTGCTGAAATTTCAGCCTCTTCATTTGTAAAGTAGGGAATATTGCTATGTAGGACTATGCAGATGATTCACAGAGCGTGTTTGAGGAAAGCACTTAGCACAGTACCTGGCCATGAAGATTAGACCCCTAGCTGTCATCGTTACTCAGCCTGTGCTTGCACGCTTCCATTATCATTATTAATTTACTTGGAGTTTCTGCTTAACTAAAATTCACAGATCTCTTCCATAGATGATTTCTTTGGAAACATAAATTATAGAACTTTTTCTTTTGTTTTAATTTTTGTTTTTGCCTCTTGTGCCTAGCACAAGTATAGGCTCTTAGTGAATGCATGAATGATTTTATATTTCTCACTTTAAAACTTTTCCATATTGGATATGATGTTTCAGCATAAAATAATTTTGAGTCCTGATCCTGTTATTCAGTCTATTAGCTACCTTCTGGGCATTCTATCACCTGTAAATTGGATGTTTCATTCAAATAGCTAAGGACAGAGCCAAGGACAGAGCCCTAAAGCATGAAAGACTTCTTTCTAGGAAGCACCTGGCTGGCTCAGTTGGTAGAACACGGGACTCTTGATCTCAGCGTTGTAGGTTCAAGTCCCACGTTGTTGGGTGTAGTGATTACTTAAAAATAAAATCTTAAAAAAGAAAAGAAAGACTTCTTTCTAGGTCGATATCAGTTAATTTAATTGTAGTTATTTGGGTATTGGCTTTGGCTTTTTGACCAGCCATGAGTATACCTAAATATACCATTTTCCCACTCATTATTTCACAGTTGTCTACCAGGTTAAAATGAGAAGCTTTGTCAGATACTCTGCACCGGAAGGATGGGCAGAGGGAGCACTGTGGGAAACCTTTCAGGGCAAGGGCCCAAGGGAGAGAGCGTGTGAGGAGCTCTAATACTGTGCCCTTTACCACCTCTGGGCAGGTGCTGGTGGATGTGCCCTGTACCACAGACCGCCACTCCCTTCACGCGGAGGAGAACAACATCTTTCAGCGGTCGAGGAAGAAGGAGCGGCAGATGTTGCCTATGCTTCAGGTGCAGCTGCTCGCGTGAGTAACAGATTTACCCACGCTCTCGACTTCGTGCCACAGTGTTCCAGGGGGCTGGTCGCCTGGGGGATCGGAAGCTCTTGCCACAACCATCGTCCCCAGAAGGGTCTTCTGATTGAGGAACTCCCTGGAGGAGACAGACATGATAGGAGGGTCCTCTGGAACATGAAAACCCTATGTGGTAGGACACACATAGGGTGGGCCGCACAGATTCATTTACGTTGCCTTACCTCCATGCTAGTCCTAGTCCCAGTGAGTAGCACAAGTTTGAAAGCTTGAAAAAAGTGACTGAAGTCGAGGCCCTGTAGGGCTGGTAAGGACTCAGTGCATAGCTAGCTAGCGTCAGCATTTGGACCATAAGCAGAGTCAGAGTTCAGGGGATTGCTTCTGGCGGAGAGCCCATGGAGTAAGGTTGGGTTGCTCTCTGCCTTGAGAATGACTCTTCCGGTGTATCTATGTGGAAGGGACTTCAGAAGCTAACACAGCTGCCCATCCCACAGTAGACTCCAATATCCATGCTTCCAGCTCCTCCTGTTGTCCTTCTGCTTCTGGGAAGCTCATTAGTCACTGCTTTTCTCTCTTTCTGGTTTCAGGGCTGGACTCCTTGCCACCAAACCAGGAGGCCACGTTGTCTATTCCACCTGCTCACTCTCACACTTACAGAACGAGTATGTGGTGCAAGGCACCATCGAGTTCCTGGCCAATCAATACAGCATCAAGGTTCAGGTGGAAGACCTGACTCACTTCCGAAAGCTTTTCATGGACACGTTTTCTTTCTTCCCATCCTGCCAGGTTGGGGAGCTGGTAATCCCAAACCTCTTGGCCAATTTTGGGCCTATGTACTTTTGCAAAATGTGTAGGCTGACATAGCATCACCCTGTTCCCGAAGTCCTGGTGTAGGAGGGTGAAGGGTATACTCCCGTGGAGGCACCAGAAACTGAGACCAGTGGCAAAGATGCACTCTGGGTCCTATCTCCATCCTGTTCAAGTCTTTCTTTAGACAGTTTTCAGCGTTAGAAAGTAGGAGTTTTTCTGTCCTGCTGTCCAGTTGTGAGAGCATCAGCAGGTTTCTAACTCACTTATTATACCCTCGCCCCCCATTTCTAAGCCTGTGCTAAAGGTTCCTGCCCCATTAAGAGCTGAGAAGGAGGAGCCAGTGAGCAGGCCCACACTTTAAGCTGTAAACTTGGGAAGAAGCATTTAGCCAATAAAACTGTTGAAGCTCCATAGAGCTGGGGCTGTAGTTGGGGCCTCCTGTCAGTCCAAGTACTGTTAGTGCCGTTTGTACCAGCTGCCATTACTGAGCACCAGCTCCTAGGGCCCCAATGCCCAGGAGACCTCTTGGTGGCAGCCTGGTGGCAGACCTCTGGTGACAGAGCACCTCTCACACTTGAAGTGAGTTCTGCGTGTGATCAGTCCTCAGCAACCGATGGGCCCAAACACGCCTCCGTAGTTCCTTCAGACAGCCCCCGATCAAATTTAAGGAACAAGCAACTAAAAATGTTAAGCCAATCATGATAATCCGCTTCCTAGCGCTGAGAAAGCTCTCCCGAGCTGCATCCTTGCAGCCGCTCCTGCTGCCCCGGGTGGCAGGGGAAGCTGCCCAAACCACAGGGCTGTGATCCTCTCCTGGGCGCTTCTGCCGTCGTTCATCCCTGTAGCAGGTGTTCCTGGAGCTCCTGTAGGACAGGTAGCCAGGGAGCTGTTGGAGGTTAGCGGCAGTTGGGACCATGGGAGATGAGACTCCTCGTCCTCCTTCATGGCAGCTCTCCTCCTTTTGCTTTCCGAGCACCTAGGCATCTGATATCTTTTTCTGTTATATTATGCTTTTTGTTTTGTTTTTCTTGTTCCTGGTCTGTGGCTGAGCTCTGGTTCTAGTTGTTTGGCCTAGCCCTCGGTCTCTCAGAGCTCTTCCCCAGCAGCACAGGGCCTCCCCTCCCCGAGGGTATGAGGTTTGGGGCAATATTACATCATTCTGACTGCATGCTAATTATGTTGTCTTTGTCACTCTAACATAAAGAAGGTAATCCCTTAATGGCAGGGATATTAAAAATTGCTTATGGTCACTTGTAAATTATTGCTTTTTTTAATGAAAAAAATAATTTTTCTTCCTGAGAAACTGGCCTTTTTGCAGAAAAGGGAGCATAATTTTAGAATACTTATGTTCTTCGTTCTTTCCACTTTCTTTTTCCCTCCTCTTCTTTCTCTCACTCATTTTGTTCTTTATGCCTTTCCTGCTAATCCTTGTTTCGGTATTAGAGGTGTCAGCTGAGAAGGATTTTGGATAAGGTTAAGCCTTCTCTTTTCTTGGGATTTGCGTTGTAACTGAGTGCCCTGAAACATCTTTCAGACTCCAAGTCGAGTGAAGCTAGGAAGATGGAGCTCCAGGGAGTAGGACTTTAATTAGCCTCCATGTGTGGTATGTGGCCCCGGCCTGCTGTTTACTCTCAGTATTGGCTGAGGCTGGGAGGCCTCAGGCGCCTGGGTTTCTGCCCTTGGCCTCCTGGGTATCCAGCCTGGTGGATTCTTAAATGCTAAAAGCAGTGCTAATTCAAGATTGGGTCTCCTGCCCCTGGGGTCCCAGTCTAACTGGGGACAGACTGACTCAGGTTGGAAAGGCAAAGAACTACTTTGGAAAAAAGTTTGATTATCTCCTGTAATTGAACATCTACTTACTCTACAGCGCAGTTATTCCAATACTAGGGATAAATCCAAGAGAAACTCATACATGTACACCAGAAGATTTGTACAAGATTGGTTCATAGCAATCCCAAAAGGAAACGCAAATGCCCATGAGCAGCTGAGTGGATAAATAAACTGGAATATTCACACAATGGCATATTATATGGCTGTCAAATGAACCACAGTGATACAAAACAGTATGGATGAACCTTTAAAATAAAATATTAAATGAAAAAAGTTCAGTCCCAAAAGATTAAATGTAGCATGATGCCATTTTTAAAAAAAAAGGAAAACATGAAAATTTGTTACTATTTGCAGACAATATAATTGATAATTTTAAATGTACTGTTTAATGAATTTTGATAATTATATATAATAATATAATCACCATCACCATCAAAATATAGAAAGTAATTCTATCTTCTAAAAAGCTTCCTTGGGGCACCTGGGTGGCTCAGTCGGTTAAGCATCTGCCTTCGGCTCAGGTCATGATCCCGGGGTCCTGGGATCGAGCCCCGCATTGGAACTTGCTCATCGGGGAGCCTACTTCTCCCTCTGCCTGCTGCCCCCCCACTTGTGCTCTCTCTTGTCAAATAAATAAATAAAATCTTTACAAAATAAAAAAGATAAAAAGCTTCCCAGTGCTCCTTTGCACTCAATCCCCTTCCCCCATCCTTGGCCCCAGGAAATCACTGCTTTCTGTCACTAGAATTTAGCCTAGTCTAGAATTCCTAATGTGCCATTTAAAGTCTGAAGCTCCCCTGATGACTCCCAGGGTCACTTCCTTTACTGGTTTACTTATGGTGAATAAGTTAACATTACTAATGGTTTATAACTGGCCTAACGGGTTATGTGTTTCTGGCTTGATTACATGGCCAGAGTAGCATAAAAACCCTTCCATGAACTTCTAATTTGAGCTCTCCCAAAGCCAAGATTCCTTACACAGATCATAGTGATTCAAACAAAAGATAGAATGCTCTGTTGCACATCCTTGCTAATACTTGGTATTGTAAGTTTTAAACTATATTCCAGTGGGTGTCTCTGAGTATCTCATTGTGGTTTTAATTTGTATCTCTGTCATGTTTTAGAGTTAAATACAACTAAGAATTCAAAAACTTTTTTTTTTAAAGATTTTATTTATTTATTTGACAGAGAGAGAGATAGCGAGAGCAGGAACACAAGCAGTGGGAGTGGGAGAGCGAGAAGCAGGCTTCCTGCCGAGCAGGGAGCCCGATGTGGGACTCAATCCCAGGACCCTGGGATCATGACCTGAGCCGAAGGCAGACGCTTAACGACTGAGCCACCCAGGCGCCCTCAAAAACATTTTTAACAAACACATATGCCATAAAACTATGTAAAAAGGACGGAAGGGTTCTCACTGTGGGATTCAGGATAATGGTTCCCACAGGTAAGGGGGACAGGATGGAGCCGGAGGGAACATATAGTTAGATTAGGTTATTGTCAACTGAATGAGTGAAAAGCTATGCATAAAAGTATGTTGTACATGATAAAAATGTGTCATGAAAAAGGATTTTGATTAATCCAATTTTGTGCACATGATGACCAAAAAAATAGAGGGGTAGAGAACCAGCTCACAAAGTATAATAGTGCTGAATGTGGCTTGATAGGGGCTGTGGGAGGGGCTATATCTGGAGACCTGGAAGCTTAGCTATGTTGCCTCAGTCTTCCTCGTGGGTTCCCCTTTCTGTGTGACATACAATAGCCCATCCTTGGCAGAGGACCAAGTGTTGGGACAGTCATGGGTCACATTAGAGAGATGGTTTGGGTCTGTGGTTTTCACCTTGTGGGGGGGGCAGGGGTCATAAATCTGTCTGAGAGACCAGTAAAAGCTTTGGCAGTCTCAGGGGAAGAATGCATTTTACACACAATCCCGGGGTTTGGGCGCTCCCTACAGACCATCTGCAAACCCCAAGTTAAAAACCTTTAGGAAAAAAACCACCAAAAACTTTGGATTAGAAGGTCTCAGGATTTGAGGGTCTTTAGAGGAGGGCAAGGGGGGGCAGGCAGAGCCCCAGTGGCTAACTCCAATCACCACTTTCTCTTCTGCCAACCTGCTCTTCCTCACTGTGTGCGTTCCTCACCTCCCAACACAGCGCCACCATGGGCCCTGCTGCCCAAGCCAGAACCGTGGCTGCCCTTGACGCCTCATTCCTAACAGCAGTGGTGGTGATGGCTACTGCGTGTTGAGCAGTTGTCTATCCCAGACTGATGCTAAGCATTGTTTTATAGGCATCCTTGTTTCTTACCCTCACAAAAACCCTAAGAGATAGGTACTCTTTTTAGTTCCATTTCATAGATAAGGAAACAAGCTTGGACCTCTTAAGTAACTTTTTTTTTGGTCTTTTATCCTTTTAATCAAAAAACTTTTTTTTTTAAGATTTTATTTATTTATTTGAGACAGAGAGAAAGAGAGAGAGAGAGCACATGAGAGGGGGGAGGGTCAGAGGGAGAAGCAGACTCCCTGCCGAGCAGGGAGCCCGATGC